TGAAAAGGGGAAAGATGTTTAAAAACCCTAAAATATTTCTAAATGTTTAAGAAAATATTTTTGGCGTTCTTTTGTTTAGAAAAAATAATTAAAGTGTAAAATAAAAATAAACCATATTTCTAATTTATTAGTTAATTAATAAACAAAATATGATTAAGTTAATTAATTTTAATTTATGAAAATTAAATCAATTAATTCTAAAAAAATTAAATCTAAATTTTTTATGATTTTATGATTTTTTATGATTAAATAAAAATGATTAGAAAAGAAAAGAAAGAAAAAAAGTTATTTAAAACAAAAAAGTAAGTAAAATGGGCCTGGGTGTAAACAAGTAAAATGGGGGTGAGAAAAAACCAAAAATAATAAGCTCAAACTGGACAAAGCCCAGGTCTGTGCTGGATTCAGTATGGATGACTTTCAGGAGGTGTATCATGGGGCTTGATCTGAGTCCATTAGATCTGGATCTGATGGTGATGATTAAGGAGGTGTATGGCATGCGCATGGCTGATTGCACTGGATCTGCAAGGAAAATATGTGAAAAATCAAAAGGGTACCACTGGGGCTCGAACACAGGTCCCTGAGATCATAGGCGCGTATAGTTTACCACTAGGATAGCTGTTTCATCCGGTTATGAAACGCCCCACAATCAATATATTATAAAAAGAATTTTGAAAATTTGAAATGTTATCTTCTTCTTCCTCGCGTGTGCAGACGACAACAACAACACCATTGATGATTTTCTAAAAGCTTTATTTCTCAACCTTTTTGAAAAGTGTAAACACCAAATTTGCTTTAAATTCAATCACTAATTCAACTATATAACTTATTTTAACCAACACTCAAAGATAAGCAAGAATTTATGTTGGTACCAAAAACGAACCCTAATGGTTCAGAGGCAAAATTCTCAATACACAGTCAACATAAATGAAAACTAAGGACATGGTTAGTTTCAGGGCAATCATATCTACATTTTATCTTTTGAAATTGAAATAAAATGATGCGTGTATATGGAGTTTTAAAATTCAAGAAAACTTACCTCTCGAGCAAAACCCAGAACTCGTCCCACCACTCTCAGAGACAATGTAATGGTGCAAAAAGCTTCCTTGAACTTCCAGGAAGCTAATGATATGCTCAGCTTGCCTTAGAACTCTCTGAAACTTTCCAACCAAGTCAAGTTGAAAATGGTGAAAATGAGGTTTGAATGATGATGATGATGATGATGATGGAGGTGTTCCAGAGTTGTTTGAGTGCTTGGACAACTTTTATATGATGTATAAATGATGTTTGAATGATAAAAATGGAAAACGCACGAGTGGATTGAGAGTTGGCTTCTTAAGGCTCAAGATATGCACTAATGGAGTTTTCTTGGTGATTCTGAGTTTGAGAGTGCATGAGAGGTTTAAAGGGCTTGTCCCTTTGTACTTTGGCTTACAAATTAGCTCTCTATTTATAGGCAAAGGGTTGAGGGAAAGGGATGATCAGGTTTGAGCCTTAAGGTTTTGAGACTTGGTTGAAGTGTAAGTGAGAAAGTTACATGAAGATCATGGTTCCAATGCATCAATAGGGTGGTTAGTAGGCTTAGAGATGTTGCTTCTGAGCATTCATGTTGAGTGTGATCAGAAGAAATAAGTTAGAGACTCAAGGAGTGGACTTTGTGATTAAAGTGGTCTTTAAGCAAATGGATATGGAGCTTTTTGCAATTTCATCCAAAAATGGTATGATCAAGTGGATAAAGCTTTAAATCCTTGTGTAATGCACCATAATTTTTTTTAAATCTATGATTATGTGGAGATTCAAAAGCAACATGGCCTGAAAATTGAGATTGAATGGTAAGGTTATGAGATTTGCTCTTGAGTTCTTCACAAAATGACATGAAATTCAAGCATGAAATACCTGACTTCATCTCTTAGATTCTCTTTTCTCAAGCATGATCTTTTTATGCTCTTGGACATTTTGGAAATCTTAGAACAAGATCTTCAACTTTAATGTTGACCAATTTGGTTGAATTAAATGGGAACTTGGTGAAATTTTGCCAAGAAGTTGAGATAAAAAACTGATCAAAACTTGTTGAAAAATTTTCTGTGTTAGATAAAAAGTATCAGAACTTCATGGGTCCATATCTCTTAATCCAATCACTTTTTGAGGATCATCCCACATTAAAAAAATTGTAGAATTCATTAATCCCTACAACTTTTATGTTGAAAGTTTTTCTTGAATCAGTTTGTATCTTAGTGAAAAATGACCATAAAGTAGTGACTTTATTAAGTAAGAACAAAACACTTAGAAATTTTTCTAAGTGTTGGAAAATTTTCCAACTTTTGACTTTTGTTTACTTTTTTTATTCTTAATGATCATACTTGATAATTTTGAATATTTTGATGATTCTTGATTTTTAAATTCCAATGTTGACCAAAAAATCAAAGTTTGACTTTTGTGTGACTGTTGACTTTTTATCAATTGATTCAATTCTTCAACTATCAATCACTTGTATCTATGGAAATGTCTTGAGCCATGTAATTAGGTTAAGATGTTGTATTTGAGCCCTTGAGGTCATGCTTTAAGCCATTAGGTCATGCACTAGACCAAAAGTCAATGATCAGTCATCTTCAATCAAAACCCTAATTTGGCAATTTTTTATCTTTAATGATTTGAGGGCTTTCCTTGAGGAATCATGACCAACCCTTGATCAAATGATGAATATCACCTCAAAATATTGATGTTGACAAAAAATCTTGAAGTTTGACTGTAAATTAACCATAATTAACTTTTTACCTAATATAGTTAACTTTCAATCTTCCAAACCATTGACTGAGAAAACATGTGATACAAGACTTGAAACTTGACATAAGTACTATTGAGGACCTATGATTAACCATGAAATTCATTTGAGACCCTTGCAACCCAATCTTCCTTGAGAAGCACAAAACCCTAGTTGTAAACCCTTGCTTAGGAAGAGGTTTTACCAGTCAACTCTTGAGTAGCTTTGAGTTTTATCAATATTTTGATTGGTACAGATCAGTTAGTAACCCAGAAATGCACGTGTCTCATCCGAGGTATTTGGTTAATCCACAAACACAATGGGCACATACCTCAAATCCCCAACAACAAAACCAACACACAACATCCTCCCACCAACCATCCCGATGATATAGATCCACAACCACCCAACCACAATCAGCACCTCAATACAAATACACTCATATTCCCCACACCCAACCACAATCACCACCTCAATATCAATACACGCATATGCCACACATCCAACTCCAATCTCAATCGCAATACTAATACACCCATATTTCCCACGCACAATTCCAGTCTTCTCCATATCCCGATGTGGACCCCTCATCATCTCACCTTAGCTCAGATCTAGGCTTTCCTGAAGAATATGATCCAACAGACCCAACTTACCATCAACCACCACATCACCATAGCACCCAGCAGTCGCAATACCAAACATCCCAAGATTCATTTCCTTTTTACCCCCTTACTCTGACGACCAGTGCTATAGACCATCCATGGAACCCCACCCCCCACTAAGACGACTAAACTTTGAGGACAGGGTAACCGACACCCATATGGTGATCTGACTGATTTCATGAATCCTGAACGCATTGACTTCGCTGGGTCATCGACCTAACCGCAACAGGACAATTGACGAAACCCACCATGAGATAGGCGAGGACGCGGATGCAGAACCACGGGTCGTTACCGAGTTCCGGGGGACCACAAAATAATATGCATGGTTTTTTTTCATTATGTAATCGTTTTTTGTTAATGAATAGTCGAAGTTTCGTGAAGCTATATCGTTCTTATTGTCTCGTGTTTAAAATAGAAAGCAAAAAAATTACTCTTTAAATGCATCTAGGCGCCATTTGAGATGACTTAGGGCAAACATGTTGCACCTAGGCGTCATCTCACTCGACGCCTTCTTCTAAAAATTAAGTGTATGTATCATCTCACTTAACGCCTCTATTGTAGGATTTTCTAAAACATGATTATTTGCGTAAGTTTCTCCGAAACATGATTATTTATATTTTTTTTCAATACTTAGTTATTGCTAAAAAAAAATTCTAACTTTTCATTTTAAAATTAAAAATAATATTTTTAATAAAAATATTTACAATTCTTAAACAAAATACTGTTAAAAAAATCTACAACTAGTTTTATTTCTCTTTCACGAGTGGTAAATTATTTCTCTTTCAAAAGTGGTCAAAATTATACGACCATGTATCAATAGATAAAACTGGTTATGCTCCTAGAGTCGGTCCCACCATTTTCTAATCTTGGCATGCCCGGAAAAAAGGTACTGTATGATACGGTGAACAGATCTCAAAGCATATTTCAGGGAGTAGATTTATTACCTTACCACCATATCTAGTCTAGCAACTTCTCTTTGAAAGTAGTAACCATAGGAATCATTATGACCTCATCCATGGACTGTACCTAGAATCCTCTTTAATTGCATCAAATCATATTCAAACGAGTACTAAGAATTATATTCCTGGAATTACTGTTTCTAGAAATAATATTTTCACTTATATGTTTAGACAAAAATTAAAATTCTTAAAAATATTTATAAATTAATTTAATTTAAAATTATAAAAATAAATATAATGAGTAAAAGTGAGAAGTTATAGATAATTAAACTTATTCCCACAAGAATCTTGAATTCTCACTCTTTATGTCTTAGAATAAGAATAAAAAAACTATTTATAAATAATATTTTTTAAAATAAAAAGTTTCTTGAAATAATTTTGTAAAACTTGAATAAAAATAGGAATATTAGATTCCCATAGTCATATTCCTATGAATATGTGTCGTAACACATCCAAAAGCAAGTCATAACAAAACTAAAAAGAATGTATATTTACAACTGTATTAAACATACAGACATCACAAGTAGTCACTGGCTTCTCCATTCATCGTACAAAGGTACACCTATATCACAAACCCGTAATTCTGATGATACAAGAGATTTTGATACAAATCCATAGCAATCACAAAAATAATTGCCTGCACTGTGCTGCATCAATATCAGAGGGACAATACGGGCACTTAAAAACTTTTGTGCTATTCTTGGACATTTTCAAGATAGACTGCTTACAGAGGACATGGCCACAGGACATCAACATTGGAGGGTTATCCTCGGATGCTTGTTCCTTTGAGACAGGGCAAACAAAAATAGAATGAAACTGGAATTCCTCGTCCATCTCAATCGGCACTGGTAACTGGTTCGTTGACTGCCATTCCTGCTTCCTTCCTGCCATGACATTCATAAATTTAAGGAGAGCTGGCAAAACCTGGATCCCTGCAGCAACGGTCACACTCAATGGACTGTTGTATGACTGTCCCAAAAGATTGCAGAACTGTCTTTTAAGTTCCTCAGCCAACTTATCCCAGTTAGATGGGGAAAGTAATGCATGGTATGGAGACTTATCAAGCTTTCCAGGCCACAGAAGACAAGTCATGAGCTTCTGGACTTCAGCAATATGACTGCTAGCAAAAGGAGAAAGGTGAGTTCTTGCATAGTGAAGGGCTTCATCTCTACTACCACCATTTTGAAGAATTTTTACAAATTGCATCGAGTGAAGTTTCAATACAATGTCTGATGATCCACTTTGAGCAAGTTTGTCAGAATTAGACGCAGCCCAGTTGAGTGCTGGCTCCAGGTTCTGATTCTGCATGGCTTGGAGTATTTGATACATTTCCAAGAATGGAGATTTCATAATTGCAGCAGATTCAGGTTCTCCAACTGCACTTAAAAAATGGTCCCCAACATCAAAAAGACCCTGGCGATAAAAATGGTTGGCAATTATTTGATTTAAAGTGCGCGTATCAATGTCGATGTTTCTGTAAGCTTTGGATATATCAGAGTTGAAACACTTCTCAACCTGCTTCCCATATTTGTTGAGTGCTACATTTAGCTCCTTTTGTGTACTTTCCATTTGGCCAAGTGGAGCAATTTTAAGCATACTGGCCTTCAGCTCATTCAGGATAGGGTTATGATCAAGCACTTGATCAGTGTTACTGACTGACTGCATCATTTCTAAAACACGCTCAATTTCCTGTCTGATCTGATCAAGCAACTCATGAGTCTTAGAACTGGATAACTTTTGCTTCTTAGTAACTCGGTCAAAAGCATCTTTAACAGAATTTAGCTCCATGATGAGTATTAACTGTGTCTGCAGTTTGAAAAGCCGTAAGCTAAGATTTAATACACCTGCAAAAGCCCATGGTATTAGTAAAACTAAAATGAACTTTTAAGACCGACCTCTCGAACTTCTTGTAATACAGTTTGACAAACAAAAGGTAGATGAACTCACATCATGGTTAAGTTGTTTGTTATGAATTTTAAATAAAATTGGTATGATAGGTTTATGGAACAAATGATGCAGATAAGACATCTAAGATCATGAGTTCTATAAAAAATGAATAGTTCAATTGTAAATATTATCATTTTATTTGAAAATGTATTTTAGTATGATCCAAATTCATGGCCATCATAACATTATAGATCAAAGTAAAAAACCCCTCTTCTGCATCCCACAGGGTATACATGGTTCCATGCATCATTGCCAGGAAAACTTGTAGAAACCGGGAAGTTTATTAGAAATTATAGGGAAAGGCCGCTTGGTTACAACTCTGCCGCTTGGTTAGTCTTCCCCCATCTCTACTCTGCAGAGGGCTCAGTCTGAAATTTCAGCAGTAGAAGCTTGCTACCACGTGCTTGATCCTTGATGTCATCCCCAAAGTTTTGGAGTTGTGGGATGACACACATCCCCACTCTGGCATCCGTCACTGGAGTAACAAAAACCATGCACGCATAGTTTGCTCGATGTTGCTACCCTGTCTATGGAAGAGGCTGGGTCTGGTAGTTCGAGTAGCGGCAATGGGCAGTTTGATCAACAAAGTCCCACCACTCAATGGCCATGTACTTCTAAAACCCACCTTTTCCTTGCTCACACTTGACATTCATCCTAAGCCACATCGCTTGCTATATCACTATGACATTCATCTTAAGCCACCAACATTTCTATGACTCCTTTCTGCCCCGTGTTTAACAAAGTTCTTACTTCACCACTATGGTCAGGTTTGGATCCTTCCCTTTTCTTACTTCTCCACCTTGTTCCTCCTTCATAACCACAGTCCCATATTTCCTCCGGATCTTACTTTGTCTACTGGTTTTGTTGATTCCGAGTTAGTTTTTACTTCCTCATCTTTGAGGCAGATTGGTATGTCTAGATCAAACCCTATCCAGAAATGCTTGAAAACCACCTTGGCAACGGCCCACAATGTGTCATTTTAGTTACTCCCTTCCTAGAAAAACAACCATTTGAGTGTCCCACACCCCTCACAAAGTCATTGCAATCCATGATAGTTTGAGCTTATACTTCATAATTACTCCAATGGCCACAAAATACTTATCTACATCCAACAGACACCAATAATCTTTCTTTCCATCAATTAACGGAATCAGTTTCAAAAACATATGCCACACGGCTCCATGATTGGAGTCCTGATACCAATTAACACAACCCTGAAAGTTTATTAGCAAGAATAGAGAAAACTCTATTGATTACAGCTCTACATAACATCAAGGGTCGCAGTAAGCAACCTCCCTACCCTAATGCTTTAATTCACTCCACTTCCCTTTTAGTTAGATACGTCACAGTCTAATTCCCTAACTTACTCAACCTAATTATTTCCAACTGAATAACGAAAATCGGGACGTTAAGTCGGGACGTTAAGTCGTTAACCAAATAAAAACATAGACGTGATCTAAACGAGTGGAATTTTATGTGTTATAACTGCTACCATACCCGTAATTAACTTTTAGTTTCAACGCTCTTAGACAACAGTACATAAATCAAATTAATCAGGTCTTAATACAAAGATTCATTTGGATCATCTCTAGTCAAATAACCATAACCATCATAAACACTTACATTTGAAAACAACTAAATTCAGAATACGATAAACACCAATATTTCAATTCCAGCTCAATTATCAAACACTACAAGTGCATGTTGATAAAAACACTAAAAGAGTTGAAAAAGAAACAAGAAATCCAACACACGAGAGTAGATATATGGTATCAGATACAATAATTTGAAGAAAAAAGAATTTCGAATATCATCATATCAAGAAAGGCGAAGAAACGGATTAAGTTGAATTGAAGAAAACCCTAAACGAAGATTTGATTGCATGTTAATAGATAAAGAATGCAAGATAAAGAAAACAATGAAATTGAATGAAATTGGTGGGAAAAAGAGAAAGAGGAAGAGGAAGAGTTGCTTACTGAAAATGGAGGGAACAGATCTGTGGTGGGTGATTAGGGCAAGAACCTACAAACAGGGAAAACGGAGAGAGAGAGAGAGAGAGAGAGAGAGAGAGAGAGAGAGAGAGAGAGAGAGTTATGAAGGAAGAAACGATTACGTGTCTCTCATCCGTTGTTTAATCTTTATCTTTACTCAACCTGCCCACTTAACCTAGACCCGTTTTACTTTCCGGTATGTCGTATGACCCATAAACCACAATTTCATATTGGTTTCTCTATGTTTAGGGATATGTCACTTATGTGATTATGCAAATTGGATCCTCTACTGCGTTTCTTCTGAGCCCTCTCTTCTGAGCCATTTGTAGCCATTAGATTTAATCTAAGTATTTAGTCTTGCCTATTTTAAAATGTAGAATTTTTATCTCCTTTTTTTCCCACCATTAGATCACACTAGAATAGATAGCATGAGAAAACAAATTGGAGAGAATCTAAATCATTGATTATGTGATTCAATTATTCAATGAATTATATGTGTATTTAATTTATTTATGTTATTTTGATCGTCTTGACATTATAGAATGATGGTTTTGATTAGTGTAAGGAATCATTATGAAGATCGAGTTAGTTATGAGTTAAGAATAAGAGAGTTTAAAATTTAGAAAGTGTGTACATAGATTTTTACAGTTTTTTAGACATAATATTTAATTAAATATTAGTAGTTATTTTTGTTAGTGTTTGAGGCATTTTTATTAAGAGAGAATAAAGAAAAATAAGGATTTTTATTATTGACTTGAATTGTATAAATAATGATACAAATTATGATTATTTATATACACCTAATTTATACTATAAGTAGGCTAGTAAACCATAATTGGACTTGGGCTTAGATTACACAATTTGGATTAGGTCTAATATCTCAACATACCTCTTATAATCCAAGTTGTCGAACATACTCTAAAAATAGTCAATCTCAACTATTCCTAATTTCTTTCTCAAATTTAGGAATCTATCGATCTTTAATCCTTTGGTGAAAATGTCGGTCAATTGTGCTTCACTTGAGCAATGCTTAACTTCAAGTTCACCTCGATTTACCTTTTCCTCGATAAGTGCAATCTTGCTTTGATATGCTTACTCCTTCCATACAAAACAGAATTTTTTGCCAGATTTATGGCTGACTTGTTGTAGATTTGCAACACAAGAGGTTTCTTCACTTTGACCTTCATTTCTTCAAATACCGATCTGATCCAAATTGTTTGACATGTAGCATAGGATCCTGCTATATATTCAGCTTTACAGGATGATAATGCCACCACAAGTTGCTTTTTCGAGCACCATGAGATTGGGGCACTAAAGACTTGAAAGAAATATCTAATTGTGCTTCTTTGATCCTCCGTATCTCACGCCAATCAGCATCTAAAAAACAAGTAATTGTTACTTCTTTGCTTTCAGAGTCTCGTCGAAATAGAATTCTATAGTTTATCAATACTTTTAAGTATCTCAAAATTCTTCTTACAACCTTCATGTGTGACACCCTTGGTTCACTCATGTATTTGCTCATTAATCTGACTGTGAAACTTATATCAGGTCGACTATGACACACATATCTCAAAGATCTAACTATGTGTTTAAACAAAGTTACATCAACTTTGTCTTCCTCTCCATGTTTGTCCAACTTTAAATTTGGTTCGACAAGAGAAGATGTCGAATTCGAATCATCCATCCTGAATATCTTGAGTATCTCTTTGACATACTTCCTTTGATGTAGCATCATACCTTGCTCCGACATTAGAAATTCTATACCTAGGAAATAAGACAATTTTCCCAGATCTGACATTTCAAATTCTCTCATCATTGGCTCTTTGAACTTCGACAAGTTCTCAAGTTATTTTCAGTTACCAGCAAGTCATCGACATATATGAAGATGATTGTTATCTCTTGTGCTACAACCTGGACATAAACACTATACTCAGGCTTGCATTTTATAAATCCCAAATTGACTAAGTATGATTCGATCTTCTTGTTCCATGCCCTATGTGTCTGCTTGAGGCTGTAGAGTGCTTTGTGCAACTTATATACTTTACTTGTTTCCTTCTTAATCACAAACCCTGAAGGTTGTGTGACATAGACCTCTTCGACTAAAGGACCATTTAAAAATATTAATTTCACATCTAAATGAAATGTCGACCAGCCTTAGTTGCATGCAAATGCTACCACTAATCGAACATTCTCCAATCTTGCTACTAGAGCAAATACTTCAGAGTAGTCAAGTCCTGCTCTTTGAAGAAAACCTCGAGCTAACTAATCTTGCTTTGTGTCTTGATATCAACCCATCAACATTGTGTTTCAACTTGAATACCCACTTTACTTTGATAGCTTTTATGTGTGCTGGAAATTTGACTAACTCTCATGTGATGTTTCTTTCTATTGCATGTAACTCTTCGACCATAACTGAATTTCATTGTTTATTCTTTAAAGCCACGTTATAATTGATTGGTTTAGCACCTGCAAGTAAAGCAAAATGAACTAATTCTCCATCCGGTGTTACTTCATCATCATCGGTCACTTTAAAGACCCATGGTGGCAAGAACCTACTGTTGTACCCCAAAATTTTCCCTCCCATATTTCTCAAGATTTGTCAAAGAATGATCCTCAAATTAGCTCTAGGGTTGTACAGTCAAATCACTTCCTATGACAGCTGAAATTAGGGTTTTGGTTCTTTCAAGGAATTTGGGGTTTTCAATGGTTCAATCAAGTCTCATAGACCTATATACATTCTCTAGCACCTACATGCCAAGTTTCAAGACTCACAGTGCCAGTTTGCACAGTCAAAAGCTCCATTTGATCTATAGTCAACTGCAGGGGCAAAATGGTCATTTTGCAGTCAAAAGTCGGAATTCTTGGTCAACATCTTATTTTGAGTTCACAATCATCATTTGATCAAGTCTTGATCATGGTTTCACAAGAATAGCTCAAAAATCATCAAGATGCAAAAGTTACTATTTTTGGACAGCAGAAAAGTCAACTGTATCTTGACCAGGGCATACCTTTTTCATGGTTTATCAGAAAAATCCCATCCAATGCTCATTTTGAAGAGGATGCAATTTCCTACAATCCATCTTCACACTCCAAGATCAGAAAATGCACTCACAAGAAGTTACCAATTTTTACATTATAGGTCAAATCCAAAAGTCAACAAAAGTACACTTTGGGTCAAAGGCCATAACTTGAGATTGGTAAATCCAAATGACATGGGACCAAAGGCATTGGTTAGAGGACTTCAAGAGCTTTCCAAACTGTCCAAGAACATGGTCATATGATCAAAATTGAGCAAGTTGTGCATTGGAGAAGTTGGGAAATTTTCATGAATTTGCAAAAGTCAACTTTGCCCAAAACACCTTCTTTTTGCTAATGGGCCTCAAATCTCTTCTTAAAACTTAACCCATGACCTATGCACGACCCACCAAGCTTAATTGGATTTATTTTCTTATTTTTATTAATTAAATGGATTTTTAATACATATTAATTCATTTAATTAATTTAAATCATAAGAAAATAAAAGATTTGATTCTTAAACATCTTTGTGAACCAAATATGACCTAAACATGCTGGCAAATTCGTGCACAAGTCAAAGATACAAAAAAAAAATCCAAATTTGGCAACATTGTTCAATCATGAAAAATCAAGAATATTTGATTTTCAATCAAAGATTTAAACATCAATGCACATGGATTGGATCCAAAACTTTAACCTAATTTGATTCT